AACAAACCAAACCCCCCCATTTAATCACTTTAGTATATAATTGTTAAATTTAATTTCTAGTTTGCAATTGATTAAATTGAAACATTCTTCTGCGGGAAATGACCCTTACTTGCCATATTACTATTTAAGACGACACTTTTAAAGTTAAGTAAGGAAATTAGTTGGTACATCATTTTGAGCGTATCAGTAAGGACATGCCTCAAAAGCAGAAACCTAGCCCCCTTAGATAATATCCTACTTTGCCAACCTGGAAATTTCGTACGGATTTTCCCAATCACTTCCTCAAGATCTTGAGCTCTCAACTTTCTATGATTATAGGAACCCCTAAGTATTTGAAGGGGAATTTACCTTCTGTAAATCCAGTGAGTAGTAAGAGCATCTGTCTTCTTCAGAAAGTGATCCATTTAGATAAAATAATGGAGGTTTTATCATCGCTGACAACCTGTCCCGACCATTCTTCATACTGTTGGAAGACCTCCTTTATAGTTCTTAGAGATTTTTTCCACGATTAGCGAAGATAACAATGTCATCAGCATACAACAGATGAGAAATTAAGGGAGCCCCATTTGGTAAAGAAAAAGATCATATGCTGCCATCTTCATATTTAGCTCTCAACATTTTGGATAAAACTTCTTCAACAACCATAAAAAGATATGGAGACAGGGGATCCCCTTGCCTTAAACCCCTTCCACCTTTGAAGAAACCATTCATAGTTCCATTCATCACTACAGAATACCAAGGAGTAGTAACACTCTATCTTACCAGATCATAGGTCTTGGAGGAGAAACCAAAAGACTTCAAAAAGTGCAAAAGAAAGTCCCAATCAATACTATCATATGCTTTAGCGATTCCCACTTTCAAGACTAAATTTCTACCCTTGCCGGCTTATGAAGGTTTTGAATCATCTCTTGAGATAGAGTGATATTATCAAAGATACTCCTCTCCGGAATAAAAGCACCTTGCTCCATAGAAATAATTCTTTGTAATATTAAAGCTATTCGTCTTACCAGAATTTTCGACCAGACCTTATATATTACTGAACATAAACTTATTGGCCTGAACTTGTTAAAACTCGAAGGGGAGTCTGTCTTAGGAATAAGGACCACATATGAGGAGGAGTAGAATCTCAGGATATCCGTACCTCGAAAAAAATAGCACACTGCCTCCACGACATCCTCACCCACTATATCCCAATAAGATTTATAGAATCCCGAGCCAAATCCATCAGGACCAAGGCTACTGTCCGTTGGGATAGAAAAAACTGCATCTTTGACCTCCTGGGGAGTAGTTAACCTCCCAATTTTCTCATTCTCTACCTCTGAAATTGTGTATTGAATCTAGGCTGATAGGTCTGGTTGGTCTCTCCTGGGTCTAGCTCCTAAGAAATTTTGAAAATAATCAACCACTACGTGATGGATTGCCTCATGATTATCAAGCACAGTACCATCCCTTAGTCTCATCTCCTTAACTTGTAAGAGGTCCTGCCATTAAACTACTTAAAAAACTGATGACCGACTTTACCTTTCTCAATCCACCTCTGCTTTGCTATTTGTGCTAGGTGCATTCCTTCCCTCTTCTCCCAAGTGTCAAGTTCTACTTTTGTAGCTAAGTAGGTATATTCGATCTCCTCTGAGTGAGCCACTTGTAGGATAGTATCCAACTCTTTTTCGAGGCCCTGAATGTGTTCCCGCATCTACCCAAACACCTCTTTGTTCCATATACGTAGTGCAGTCCTCAACCTTTTAGTTTTCCAGCTAGGTGCCATAAACCACTTTCATCTGAGTTCCCTTCCCATATCTTTAACACAAAATCCTTAAAACTCGCATGTGTGGTCCACATTTGTTGGAATTTAAACAGTGTAGGGCCATAATGAGCCATATGAGTCTGTAGCCAGATCAGCATTGGTGTATGCTCCAACGTGGTACAAGCTAAATACATCATATGACGATTTGGAAATTTCTCCAAGCAATTAGAATCAATCAATAATCTATCCAATTTTGCCCAACTCCTACTCTAGCTTGTTTGACCATTACACCAGGAATAAGGTTCCCCACCATCTGGCTATTTCCATCAACCGAAAATTGTCAATAAACTGATTAAAGTCCTCCATTGCACCCATTGGTCGAGGCCGGCCTCCACGCCTCTCTGAATTATTTATGATACTATTAAAATCTCCAACCACTACCCAGGGAATTTGTGAATGATTCACCTCTTCTAATTCCGACTAGAGCAATATTATTTCTACAGCAGTGCATTTCGCATAAATAAAAGAAACCGGCATCTGGTAAGTACCTTCTATCACCATACAAGTGATTTGTTGGTTACTTTTACTCATCAAATTAACATGTACTTCATGATCCCATATGATCCAAAGTTTTCCTTCCACGTCACTGTTTGATAAGCCAAAATTAAAGTTTAGTTTCCTCTGAAAAATGCCCATTCTATTCGTCGTTTTCCAAGGCTCCGCTATCGTTACTATTTCGATTTATGCCTTCTCACCAAATTCTGTAACCTGCATGTCGAGGTCCCTATACCTCGCACGTTCCAAAAGAGATAGTTGCAACTCATAGATTAAGATTAGAGGTCTACTTGGAACCCTGGAAGAGCTTCTAACCTTCTGTACTGTTTTCCTTTGGTGTCCTTTGGCCCTCTGTTCAAAATCTGAAACACAATCACGAATATTTCCCAATTCCTCCACCATTCCTTCCACCTCTTTATCGGACAATTTCATAACCTCATCTGCATTGCTATGATCCCTAGAGTCCTCTTGTAGTTCCTCAACATTTTCTTTGACCCCTTGATCTTCTTCCATCCTTACCATAATATGAGTGGCCATTACATTTGTTTGTTCTTTATCCTCGATCATGCCCATAGTATCTCCATTTAAGATCGTCTCTCTGTCCTCTATTTATCCTTCTTCCCTTGCTTGCTCCCCATCCACAAAATAAACCCCACCTAAAGGTTCCACGTGAGTACCTCCTCCAAGCTCAAAAATTTTGATCCCACTAGTCTTCGAAGCTACAGTTCCATCCTCATCCATATTTCTATCCCTCCCCAATTCAGTCTCTATTTTCTCCTTATCATTATCCACAACTAGCTTTATTCCTCTACTACTTTTACCAACCTTTTCTATTTTATCACTTCTTTGCTCATGGACTGTACCAGTAAAGACACTAGCATCCAACTTTGTCAAAACCCCACCCACATGCACATATCGTTTTTCTATTTTCTTACCACTACCCGTCTCCATATTTTTTCCTCCACTCTTGTTTTTCCGGGCCAATTGGTTCGATTTTCTTCATTTTCTGCTTCTCATGAAATTGTTGACCCACTCTACAAACAGCTTCTGTATGACCCTGCCTCCTGCATTTCTTACAATAAAAGCCAAAATTTTCATACTTAACAAGTTGCCAAAAGGTACAGCCCCCAAGTTTTGGCTATGGCCACCCGAACCAGATCAATGTTCGGTCTAAAGGATAGGAATTTAAGAACTAAGGAA